ACCATGTAGGCAAATTTATAGGTGAGTGTTTCAATTGCACATGCTACAAACGGTTTATATTGCCATGGCGAAGATGCTTCTCCCAAGAGTTTCATTATCACGATATTGATAAGTCTTTAAAAAGGTAAGATTCAGGTATGTGAACTGATTATTTGGCAAACATCGTTAATAGTATGAAGGTGAAATGATTAAACAAAAGAATTCGGATTGGAATGCGGGTTTTTTATTGATGAATTAGAAGTTATAATCTCAAACCGAGCAAAGATGTGAATGAATGCTAGGGTTTTTTAGATCAAAAAGTCGAGTTTTAACTCGCATTAAAACTCGAATTTTTTTTGTTTCAATTTTACAAATTCGAATGAACCTTTTTTTTGAATATTTTAATGTGACAACTTAAACAACCTTTGTTTTCAGGTAAGTTTCTTGGGTCGGATCTCCTTTGAGATCTAACGCCAATACTAATAGCTCATGAACTCTTCTCGTGATGGAAGATAAGCCACATGGTTAATTTGGTTGAGTATTAATGTGCAAATGAGTGAACACATTAGCACTTTGTCTCGGTCTAGTTCGCGGATTGGATGTTATGAAGACGCTTAATCAAACAAGGTCATGTTTTCCGATCGGATCTTGGATGCTTTCTCCTTTGATGCTATGTTTATGTTCTCATGTGTATCTTTCATATCCTAATATTCGTCACTTTGTTAGCCGTTGGATTTATATCCTCGACCCTTAATTTACTTAACACTTTGTTTTGAGTCTTTTGACATTCATTTTGACATTTGGTTGTGGAGACGTAGAGGCACTTGCGCTAGTGAATTTGAGCTCTTCACTTCATTTATGTAAAGTTTATTCCTGCTCGTTCGTCTATTGGCTGGTTAAATATTTATGAAAAGCACGTAGAAGGTTGGAAATACAAAATTAATTAATTTGCAACAACATAGTCTTGAATTTAATTGTCACACTACATTTATTTTCCTTTCTACAACTCTTACATAACTTTGAGATATCTGTAAGGCTCTTATTTTTGGTTGTTAACATTAGAAGATCTTCACACCTTCTGAATATTTTGAGACAAAGAGAGATCTTCAGTGCCTTGACGAAGTTATTCTCCCACGAACTGGTGATAGCATTTCGGGTGGTAACTTTGCCGTTGGAAAAAAGTCTCGGGTGAATGTAATGACGTCGCTGATTCCATGGCAAGAGATGCGAGAATTTTGACAAATATTCGGATCAACAACCCTCGCATTGTTCACAAAAATCCCCGACCCTCCGGATTTCGTGATGGTGAACATTCTATCAGGGAGGCTACTAGGAACAAGAGTTTGGTTCGGAAAACGAAGCATGTGATTGATCATAAGCCATGCAGGGATCGTATGTCTTAGGATAAATGTCTGAAGATCCTCTTGACTCATGTCCGCTTTGGATAGATCACTGTCGCTAGGCATCAAGAAAGTAACCTCTGCGTTCTTGAAGAGATTTGTATCGTTGAGGACATGGAGAAGGATGACAAAACCATTGTAAGATTGCCTTCTCATGTCGGAAATGGCAGAACCAAGGTCGGTGGTTTGGTTGTTTTGTCTCAATATGGGATGTGGTTGAGGCTCGGGCGCGGGTGCAGCAAGAGTCGTATGAAGAAAGAAAAACAAAGGAGCCACAAATAGGAAAAGATTTCTCATCATAATTTCACTCATGATCAAAATTTAAGACTTTGAAAACAAACTTATACTATGTGAGAAACTCACCAGTTCATGACTTTTACGAGTTAATACTAATCCGGTAAGCCTCGTGGTAGTTAGTTGATGCATGGTTGAATCGTGACTTCAACTTTTTTCATCCGGTAAGTGTGACAAGAATAATCGTGTGGACTCAGTCATACATCCTTCGTTTCAATTTGTTTTAAGAGGTATAATAAGAAAACAGAATTAAGTTTTTTTTGGGTCTAAATGTTAAGATTTATACCATTTTTAAATTTTCATTGTTACTTACAACTTATTTGAGAGCTATTACCAAAGGGAAGAACAATCTTAAAAAGGAAAAGAAATACAACTGAAATAGAAAAGGAGAGAAGGACCAGAAGAAGAAGTAGCTGGGAAGGATAATAGACGGTCGCAGATGATACGGTCAAGCCTTGCTTGGATGGATGTTATAGAGGCTCTATCCGCGGTGAACATGCGAGCATTACGTTCACGCCAAATCAGATACGTCGTTGCTTGTAGTAGGATTTTGATGATGACGGAGGACTACGATGACGCTTGAGGTCTGGGTTGTATGATCCAATTCGCTGTGGCCGAAATTTCTGAAAAGAAAGATGTTATACAGAAATACAACAGAATTAAATTGTTTAAAATTCTATGAAATTAAGATACACTTTTGTTGAAAGTTGAAAACGAGATAATAGTTTTTAGCTTTGGAAAGGTTATGAGGATCTCTTAAGTCTTAATAGCTTTTACAAGGGGTCATCATGATACAACAAATCAAATCCTAGACTTTTATTACTCCCTCTGTTTCAAAATATAAGTTGTTTTAGCAAAAAACACGGATATTAAGAAATTACTTTTCAACTAAAAAATATTATTTAATATATCTAATAAAAATAATTTGACCAATCACACAAAAGACTGCAAAATACTAATGGTCACACAATATTCAATAAAGTTAAAAGTACCTAGTATTGT